GCTCCCCGCCCCTGGTCAGCGAGCCCCGGTGACAAACTTCTGTCCCCCTTCCCGGGGGGCTCGGGGTGCCCCATCCCTCCCCCCCCGGGAACAGCCACCCCCGGGATTTGGACCCGGAGGGTTGGGTGGAGGTGACAGCCTCGGCTCTTCCTAGCAAAAACAACAGCAGCGTTGTTTCGGCATCCGTTTAACAGCGTGAAACCGTCGGTAAAGTGCCGGCAGCGCTCCGGAGAGATGCTGCGGGAACCAGCAGCTTTGTACTGAGGAGGCTGGGGCCGGGGTTTGAGCAGGATCGGTTGTTCTTTCTTTGACATCAGTGTAAATGAATGCCCTACAAGGAGCAGAGGTGCCAAGGCTTTACCCAGTAAATCTGCCAGAGGACCCTACCCCGTAAATCTGCCAGAGGACCCAAAATAGCGGGGGCCGAGCACTGCTGTCTAAATCTTTGTATTCATGAACCGAGAATTAGAAATTGAAAACACTGGAGAGCCACGTCCCAGTGGGGCAGAGTGCTTGGGCTGTGCCTGTCACTCTGTGACACTGTCACTCCCAGCAGTGACAGCTGCAGATGTTTTTCTTTTCTCTTTTCTTTTACTTTTTTAAAACTAATTCCTGGCTTCAATAAGTTCCAGCCCTGTTGAGCATGGCTGGCAGTGTAGCCGGACAGTTTTCTGCCTGCAGTAAAAACGTGATGCATCGTAAGCTGAGAAGAACGCAGCGTTTCCCCTTTCGCCCCTCGGCACTGGTCGCAGGGAGCCGTAGGTGCTGGCAAGCGGCGGGTGTGGAAGGGACACGGAGCTCCACGTACCACGGGGGAGTGGGTTAGGCAGAGCAAAGACAGGCCACAGCAGCAAATCCAGCGTTTTACCGGTGTTTAGAGTCGGGCAAGGGAAGCTTTCCTTAAGGCTCTCCAAGCAATAAGGTTTCCAGTATCCTGTGGTTGTTTGGGGTTATGTGCTGGAGGAATTCTTACTCCTGAGCATTTTAATTTCTGCTTCCTTAGCTCTTGGTTAGTGTCTCTAGTGCCGGTGTTACAATTCCAGAGATTGGGAATGGGTGTCTGGGCTCCCTGCCGCAAACGGGGCATTGTGCATGGGATGGTTACAGACCCTGGTGGTCCAGGATTCGGAAAAGGTCCGTGATTTGGGGGAGCGGGGTCCACCTAGAGCTCTGTTTGCTGGAAAAATTCCACCTTGCTCTCCTCCTTCCCGAAGAATTGCAGGGCAGCATCTCTGCCGCTGTTTGCGAGGGCTTTGACAGCAGACCAGCCAGGCTGGGCTTTGCAAGACAGGGAGGAACGCGGCTCCATTCATTGCGTTATTTAACTCTCTCATCTGAAGTTCAGGCAGGGACAAGCCCAGCGTAGCATCCCAGGAAGGGATGAGATGCTGATAACACGCTTGACTTCTGCTTATCCGAAGGCATTTTGTGCGCGTGTGGTCATCCTCTCTGCAGGGTGTGGAGCCCTCTGGATTTAACGCTTATTTTGCAGCTTTCCGCGACGGAGGAGAGGGGTCAGCGCTTGCAGACCCTCCTGCTCGGCGTCTGCTCTGTGCTGGTGTGGGCGATGGCCCAGTACAAAGGGCCGGGGCTGTGAAAGCTGGGAAATGGTGAGAGGCTGCGGAGGAACAAGCCCCGAGGTGTGGAATGCCCCTAATGAGGTTTCCTTTCTTTTTGGGGATTCTCCAGTGGATTTTGCTCTGAAGGTGGTCCAGTGGTCGGAATCGGAGACAGTACGGCTTCAGCTCTGGGACATCGCAGGTATGTTCGCATGAACCACAAAGCTGCTCAGGGGCAGAATTTGAAGCTCTCAATGGACTGGGTCTTTTTTCCCCATTTTCCCTTTTTCCTTTTTTTTTCTCTTTTCTTCTTTTCAATGTCAAAGCCAGAGCAGAGTGAATGGGGAAACAGGCTTGTTTGTAGCTGGACATGTAACTTCTCAGCTCCAGGTCTTCTGTTAAAA